TTGGAGTGAAATATTGCAGGCTCGGCTGGAACAAGAAATGAAGGAACGTCAGGAGCTGGGGGCCCAGTTGGAGGCCGAGCGGGCCGAGCGGCAGGCCCAGGTGCAGAGGCTGATGGACATTACGGATTTCCTACAAGGGCTTGGGCAACGTATGGGCTTGTCTCTGCCACCTGGGCTGTTGGTTCCACCTCCGCCTCCGCGTCCTGCAGCTGCAGCTACTCCTGTGAGTATCAAAGTTTTTTACTTTCGCTTGTGCTTTGCTTGTATGGCCTCTATCGTCCTAGATTAGCTATCAAAATAATCTTGTCTCACATGCAATCTTTTCTCCTTTGTGCAGTCTCCATCTGACGGTGGTTCGAATAATCCACCTCATGCACCTACGAATGATGCATCTGGGCCTTCACCACAGTCGCAGTGGCCGAGATGAGTGCATGTTGTATTTTTTACATTTGTTGTTCACTTGGTGATGGACTTGTGATATACTTGTGATGCACTTGTGGACTTTGATGGACTTGTAAACTTATTTGGATGGACTTGAGCACTTATTATTATATATTATGATGGATGTGATATGGGCGGATGGATGAGATATATATGTGATGGATGAGATATATATGTGATATATGTTTGTATGAATGTATTTGTCACGATGGAATGCAAAAAAAATTGCCGTTTTGGGTCACTTTGCCGAGTGTTGCACTCGGCAAAGGACGCCTTTGCCGAGCGCAATGGTCACAACACTCGGCAAAGCTGGCAAAATGGGCGACCAGAAACCAGATTTTCCAGCTTTGCCGAGTGCTGTGACTATAACACTCGGCAAAGAAATTTAAAAAAAAATTTAAACTTTGCCGAGTGCCTGCCGTGTTGGCACTCAGCAAAGAGTTTTTTTTAAAAAAAATAAAAAATCTTTGCCGAGTGCCTAGAGGGGTGGCACTCGGGAAAGAAAATTTTCAAAAAAAAATAAAAGCTCTTTGCCGAGTGCCTTCCGGTTTGGCGCTCGGCAAAGAATTTTTTAAAAAAAATAAAAAATCTTTGCCGAGTGGCTGGAGGGTTGGCACTCGGCAAAGAAAATTTTCAAAAAAAAAAAATAAAAGCTCTTTGCCGAGTGCCTACCGGGTTGGCGCTCGGCAAAGAATTTTTTTTAAAAAAATAAAAAATCTTTGCCGAGTGCCTGGAGGGTTGGCACTTGGCAAAGAAAATTTTCAAAAAAAAATAAAAGCCCTTTGCCGAGTGCCTCACGGGTTGGCACTCGGCAAAGAAATTTTTAAAAAAAAATTAAAAAAATCTTTGCCGAGTGCCTGCACGGTTGACACTCGGCAAAGTGACCGTCAACAGGACCGGCGCCGTGATGGTCGCTTTTCTTTGCCGAGTGCCCGATAAAATACACTCGGCAAAGAGTGCTTTGCCGATCAATTTATTACCGTGTGTGCTTTGCCGAGTGCCGCACTCGGCAAAGCCTTTGCCGAGTGCAATATAGCCTTTGCCGAGTGCCTCAGGCACTCGGCAAAGAACCTGAATCCAGTAGTGAATTTTACTGATTTCCTATAATACCTAGTCAAACCTAGGAAACCCCTTAGCTCACTGATTGTTCTAGGTGTCTTCTAGTTCTTCATCAAAGCTATTTTATTTGGCTACTCCTTGCTCAGAGATTACATGCCCAAGGTACTCAATTAGTTTGAACCTAAATTCACATTGGCTCTTTTCACGCTTTCTCACAAATAGATTACGAAATATATTGCATTATTTGTTAAAGTTTGGATAAACCATTGCTTTGTCTGGTTCTTTCTTTTTGTCCTTCTACTTTCAAGAAATAAGGGCCCTTAGGCTTGTTACCGTCTCTGGTATAGACAGAGAGAATCTTATCCTTCTCTACTCTCGTAAGAGAAACTGCTTCATCGATGAGTTGATGTCTATACTCTCTTTCCCTGCTGCCAAACACATTAGGAGGATATTCTACATTGCCTTGAGGCATTGGTTGGAAGGAAGCAAGTGAAGAAAGATGGGATCAAATTGTGAATGTTCTTGGTTCGCTCGAGATATTGATTTTCCAGGACACTCTCCATTACTGTACTCCCTAAGGTGCTGGAAAGAGGTAGAAAGTAGGCCTAGGGTGGGCCTAGCGGATTTTCTCATCCTCTGCTCGTAGCGTAGGGATCAGGGGCACAAACCAGAAGCTAGACAGAAGAAGAACTTACCAAACCAAGAGTGAGCTCTGCCCTTAATTGGGTAGAGTGAGGGATAGGTGCTAAAGATATACCTTCCTTAACATGATGTTCTAACTTGAATTTACCGAGTTCAGTTGAAGATACAAATCCTTCAGGTAGAGGGTAGCTAAGTACAACAGAGTCCGTATAGTGAGCTAGCTCATCTTCCTAAAACCTTACCTGCTTCCATCAAACAGTCCGGTGGCAAGGTCGGAAACATGATTCCTCTTTTTTTCAAAGAAAACATTGTCGATTGGTCCATATTCAAACAAGGCAACAAGAGCTTCTATGGGTTCTACTTGATTCTTCCTCTCAACCAGTTCACTTCTCCTTTCCAGCTCGCTATCCTAGTTCTAGCTTTGGAAAAGCATATGTTGGTTGCCTAGTGATGGTGGTTACCTTTGCCAATAGCTCCCATCTTCTTGTGTGTAACCGAAGTCACGATCAGAAAGGTATCTTTCCAGACACAAAGGGACCAATCTTATCCCTTACTTGACTTGCTGCTGCTAGCTCACATCCTCTAACCTATCCAGCTTTACCAGTGAGAAAAGCTACTACTACAAAATATGGTCCTGCCCTACGGGGCTAGGGATTTCATTTATCACAGTAGGTTCGACTTACTGTTTGTTCTCTTTGACAAGCATTGCCTTCCGTTAAAAGAAAACGTGGGTATGGTTTTCCTATCCTCCCCATCTGCCTTCTTTCCCCTTGCATCCGTAGTTCAGGGTTTCTAACCAGCTTTCTCTTTCCTACGGAGAACAATCGGATCACTCCTGAAATACATACCTGACTCTTTCTCGCTCTTCTACCACCTGACCCAAAGACACCTCTTGACATACCTGCAAAGGGCAACCCTTTGAGTCGACGAAATTAATAAAATTCTCCGTGAACGTATTGAACAATATAATAGGAAAGTAGGGATTGAGAATATCGGTCGCGTAGTGCAAGTGGGGGATGGGATTGCTCGTATTATAGGTCTTGGTGAAATAATGTCAGGTGAATTAGTCGAATTTGCAGAAGGGATGAAAGGTATTGCTCTGAATTTGGAATCCAAAAATGTTGGGATTGTATTAATGGGCGATGGGTTGATGATACAAGAGGGAAGTTTTGTAAAAGCAATAGGAAGAATTGCTCAGATACCCGTGAGCGAGGCTTACTTGGGTCATGTTATAAATGCTCTCGCTAAACCTATTGATGGGAGAGGCGAAATTGTTGCTTCAGAATCTCACTTAATTGAATCTCCTGCTCTGGGTATAATTTCTAGGCGTTCCGTATATGAACCCCTTCAAACAGGGCTTATTGCTATCGATTCGATGATCCCGATAGGGCGCGGTCAGCGAGAGTTAATTATTGGGGACAGACAGACTGGCAAAACAGTAGTAGCCATAGATACAATTCTCAATCAAAAAGGGCAAGATGTAATATGTGTTTATATAGCTATCGGTCAAAGAGCATCCTCCATGGCTCAAGTAGTAACTACTTTCCACGAAGAGGGGGCCATGGAATACACTATTGTAGTAGCTGAAATGGCGGATTCACCCGCTACATTACAATATCTCGCTCCTTATACGGGAGCAGCCTTGGCTGAGTATTTTATGTACCGCGAATGACATACTTTAATAATTTATGATGATCTTTCCAAACGGGCACAAGTTTATCGCCAAATGTCCCTTCTATTAAGAAGACCCCCAGGCCGCCTTGCGAAATACTTACTGCTCAAAAGAGAAGAATTCAAATGATTTACCTCTCTCTTCCGATGAATCCACTTCACATAAACATAATAAGTGTTTTGGCATGCCAGCAAGCGGTTGATACTTTCGTTATTCAAAATTGACGAAGGGAAGGTTCCTAGGTATCGGAATGTGGTAAGCCAGCTCCACCTAGGGATATCGCCGGACGGTAGGCATCGGTTGCTCTAAAACTTCTCACCTGGTTTTCCTATTGTCTTCTTTCCTTATGAAAGCGGTCAGTAAAGAAAAGCCGAGTCGAGTACAAGAAAAGCTAATAGCTTCCTTTCGTTATCTGCATTTGCTTTCCTCAAAAGGTCTAGCTTTGCCAAAATCAATAGTTTAGTTGGTTGGGTCCTGTCAATCAAGTTATAGGAGCTGCTTGCTATCTATTAAAGGGTAGAAAAATACCGCGTCTGCATTGAAGGAATGTCGCATCTAATTGGATAGATCCGCGATTTCAAGTAGTTAGTGCTTTGGCGGCAGGGGATTATAGGCCATGAAAAACCACCCCAGGTATCTCCACCTGTGGATTGAGAGTAAAAACCAGTGAATTTCGTATCTCCCGCTGGCACACGATTTCTATTACTTTTCTTGTTTCCCGTTTCGGAGATCCGATAAAGGAATGGTAAATCGATATCTGGGCTCGAGCCAGGGTACTTATCTTCCCGTCTATAAATCAATGACCAATAAAAGACCAAAGGGGTGATAAATCAAGGGGCGGACAGGAGTAGTTGGAAGTACCTTTGCCCTGGACTGGGGGATAGTACCGTGTGCTAATCCTCTTATTAGTATTAAAGTGTAGTTTTCTTACTTAAATTTATAATATTAATCTAATATGCCCATTGGTGTTCCAAAAGTACCTTACCGGATTCCCGGAGATGAAGAAGCGACTTGGGTTGACTTATACAATGTTATGTATCGAGAAAGGACACTTTTTTTAGGTCAAGAGATTCGTTGCGAGATCACGAATCATATTACAGGTCTGATGGTATATCTCAGTATAGAAGATGGAAATAGCGATATTTTTTTGTTTATAAACTCCCCTGGCGGGTGGCTAATCTCAGGAATGGCGATTTTTGATACGATGCAAACGGTGACACCTGATATATATACAATATGCCTCGGAATAGCCGCGTCCATGGCCTCCTTCATTCTGCTTGGAGGAGAACCCACCAAGCGTATAGCATTCCCTCACGCTAGGATTATGCTTCACCAACCTGCTAGTGCTTATTATCGGGCAAGGACACCAGAATTTTTACTAGAAGTGGAAGAGTTACACAAAGTTCGCGAAATGATCACAAGGGTTTATGCACTAAGAACAGGCAAGCCTTTTTGGGTTGTATCCGAAGACATGGAAAGGGATGTTTTTATGTCAGCAGACGAAGCCAAAGCTTATGGACTTGTCGATATTGTAGGGGATGAAATGATTGACGAGCACTGCGATACTGATCCAGTGTGGTTTCCAGAAATGTTTAAGGATTGGTAGTGGGTGGATTCCTTGTAAATTTATTTCAAACCTAAATTCGGGTTTTATGCTATAGAAAATAGAAATACTTCATGATGATGAATCATCAGGTTAAGATCGATCTAAACCAATCCATTTTATATATACATACGACATGCCAACGGTTAAACAACTTATTAGAAATGCAAGACAGCCAATACGAAATGCTAGAAAATCGGCCGCGCTTAAGGGATGTCCTCAGCGTCGAGGAACATGTGCTAGGGTGTATGTGCGACTCGTTCAGATCATGAGTTCAAACAAATAATAAAATTTTTGAAGTATCCATGATCGGTACCAATGAATAGGATAGAGAAGCTCTATCCTAGATTTCTATGGTATATGGAATTTATGGTTTCCTTTGGTGCAAATCCAATCATCTAGATTGGAAGAAGCAATTCCCCCATTGGTAACAAATGGTTATCCATTAAGCGGAGGAAATAGTAATAAAAAGAAAAAGGCTTATGCTCCTTTATCTTAAAAGAACGGACTAAAGGGTCAGCTACTTAGCCAACTTTCATAATTAAATACCGTCACTGTATGAATAACTCTTATTGTGAAAAGAGTTATTCACTCTATAATGGATAGGTAGAGCCAAAGAATGTGAACTATACAAGTTCACAATACCTTTTGATGAAATGAAAGAAAGGGCTCCGGTGTATAGAGAGGGCCTCGCCGTTTAAAAGGGAACCATAAAAACGATGGAACCCACTGTTTTTTTAGTATCGTTAGAATTTGTTATTTCTATGCGAAATAACTGAATAGAATAAAAAATCGTGGTTGGGAAGGTTATAGTAGCAAAAGCCATTGGAATTAATATTTTATATATCGGAATAATCCGTTTAGTTATTAATGGGAAAAAAGAGGGTTAAAAGAAGAGAAATCATTAGTTATTCATTAAGGTTAATTTGATTCAATGACCAGAGTTCCGCGAGGATATATAGCTCGGAGACGACGAACAAAAATGCGTTCATTTGCCTCAAACTTTAGAGGGGCTCATTTAAGACTTAATCGAATGATTACTCAACAAGTAAGAAGAGCTTTTGTTTCTTCTCATCGAGATAGAGGCAGGCAAAAGAGGGATTTTCGTCGTTTGTGGATCACTCGGATAAACGCAGCAACACGGGTATATAACATATTCAATAGTTATAGTAAATGAATACACAATCAGTCCAAGAAGGAATTGATTCTTAATCGTAAAATGATTGCACAAGTAGCTGTATCAAATCCAAATAATCTTTACATGATTTCCAATTAAATAAGGACCATCAATTAAAGGATAAAAAAAATAATATACAGGAATAATGAAAATCGAATTCCCGGAGAGGGAACTCCGGTAAGATACAATAAATTAAGATTAAGTGGTAGGAATCAGCGAGCATGTTGCCATTCGAGGTAGTCCAACCTTCCTATTAGTTAGAATTCTGGGTAACCCTATCGTTGATTGACGGATCGGAGGGACTAAACTGTTCCCTTTCCTTGCCAGGGCTCAGTTATCTATTTCCTGTTCGTGCTGCGCCATCAGATTAATCGTATCGTGATCCTGGTATCGCTCGAGCATCTCTTTTTGATGAAACCTTTGGCATTGCTTTCTCCACTACACCTGGTAACGCACATATCTTGGTAGGAATTCTTCGATCTATCCAAGGGAGGCTTATTCCTTTAAGCAGAGTATCCAGTTCAGCATTCCCCTTTTCTTTCTGATCGTGGTCCTTCTCCTTTATCTGAATCAGAGGTGCGAGATGGCACCCGAGAGCCGAGAGCCTTATCCCTATCTGAGTGAAGGGTTGATTGAAATTCTAGTTTACTCTTATGCGCATTTCAACAAATGAATTGATTGAATACATTTCCTTGATTGAAATGATTGAAAATTCATCATGGCTCTTTTGAGAGTTAGGAGTTAATAAAGTGGGCATCCCTCACTGAAAAGAGAATCAAGCAGGAAAACCCTAGGATGAGGGATAGTGATATTCCTTTAACCGAGCAAGAGGGATAGTGATATTCCTTTAACCGAGCAAGAAACCATCTCTTTCTTTCACACACACACACACACACACACACACACACACATATATATATATATATATTTCAAGAAGTCCAATCCACCACTATCAATGGAGCACTCTACTCTATACTATTACCGAGTGAAGATTTCATCGGATCCGGGTCTGCTTGCTTTCATTGAAGGACAAGAGCGGATAGTTCCCTTCCCTTTCTTCGATGAACCCTTATCTTTCAATAGAGAAGTACAGCGAACACAGCGAGATGAATGATAAGTCGAACGACAGAACAACCTGATGTTACTGCATAAAGTAATTCAGATTGTCATATTGAGATTTTTCCTTTTTTGTACTTATTATTCCAAGCCAAAAGGCTATGTTCTCTCCCATACAGCTCGCAAGGCTCATAACCTAACTGCTGTACTTACTTAATTCAGAAATTCAACAACCCTTGCCCGAAGAGAAACTCCCTTGAAGGGCCAAAACAACCGCAGAGTAGCAGGTCAAAAAGGGAGAGAGAACTAAAACTGAAGATACTTGGGTTGGGAGAACTCTTCTACAGTACTCCATTAACAGAATCAAAGTATAGACCAATCAGCCTTCCTTATTGTCCAAGATCATTACTAAAGTGTTGGCCAACAGACTAGTACCGGTGGGGGATAGGAGAGTAAGTCCCAGACAGCTAAGAGAAACTCCCGGGTAGTGTTGTCACTTCACAAGAGGTGCGTAACAGGTGTAAGCAAAGAAGAGAACATAACACTGGATTTCAAAAACGAGCTTATGATATGGTGAGACAACTTTCTCTTTTTTGAGGTGAGATGCTAGCCAGCCCTCTATTCATGGGTGAGATATCGACTTTACAGTGTTACCACGTACCAAATCGTTCACTCTATCAGGCAGGCAGTCAATCAATCCGCATACGGACCCACCGACGTGATCTCACTTCTGCAGCCTGCACCAGACCCGTATTATGTATTTTACGGCATAATCCTTATCTATTCAAGAGCGATAGCGAAGCCGCCTATAGGAGTCGAAGGACGAAAGTCCGTTAGACCTCCAAGCCATAGCAACCTCTTGGGGAAATTACGAGCACCGCGTTGCAAATGCAGAGATCAAAGAAATCCAAAATACAAGCCAGCTCTACTCAATTCATCAGCTAACCCTCTTCTGGAAATACCGCCTAAACTCTAGTATGCTTATTCTATTAGTAACCTACTTCTTCTATTCCCTAGCTTGAGTGTATTAGTAGTAGCTCCGATTTCGATTCGAATGCAAACAACGCACAATGCCCGCTTTTGTTAAGTGTTACAGTCTCAATGTCGATAGCTTGCTTTGGACTACCGAAACGACTATATTGAGGAGGAAACGAGAATTCTCATAGATGATACGAAAAGCAATGTATTAAAAGCAGGAAAGTAGCAGTTCTGGGAAAGTGAGAAAGCAAAGAGAGGCACGTTTGTTAACAAAGCGGAACCAAAGACTTCTGCCTACAGCCAAACAAAACTTTCAACTATATTCAATTCCAAACTAAATCATAGTAGAATTTATGGCAACTCAGGCTGGACCAAAACAGCAAGCGGAAGGTCTCCGAAAGTCCTACATTAGCACCAAGCCATCCCCCAAGGGAGGGTATAACGGAGTGTGGGAAAATCCAGTTGCTAATGCTCCCGGCTGTGGGTTCTTCACAATTACACACAGTAGATACTCTGAGATCTCTATATATATCAGGTCGTGATAAACTTAAGAAAAAAAGTCTAAATTACTCCTCTCAAGTTTAGACAATGTCCAAATAATCCCATTACTCCCTCCAACTATGACATATGATCCAATTTACCCCTTGACAAGTTAAGTTTTAATTTCAAATTTTGCTAGGGGATAGTGTACAGCATGATTTATATTAAAAACACATCATAATTTTTCCCATATTCTTTTGACAGGTTATGACATTAAAAATAAACACTTAGAAATAAAAAACTAAACATGTTGATGAAAAATTAATAGTGTATTTTTTAACATAATATATGATGTCCTTGATCACTGCAGAAATTAATTTTGAGATCAAAATTCAACTTGTACTTGAGAAACAAAAAACATAAATCTTGTTCGTGGTAAATTATTGGACCAAAACTTTTTTTCGATGCACTCGTATCCACCTCAATCCATTCCAATACACGTGGATTGTGGGTGGATATAAGTGCATCGAAACAAACCCTAAAATAGTTAAGGGGAGCAAATGAAACCAAATGTTAGTTTGTAGGGTTATATGGACATTGTACAAACTTGGAGGGAGTAATTTGGAATTCCTAGACTTAAGTACTCTACACATTTTTCCATCTACATTCATAGTTTTTCTCTCTCTACAAGGCATATCTTCGTGTGTCTTCAATATGCATTTAATTTAAACCTCAACTTACTTATGGCTGCTCTTATTTTATCACTTTTCTCATGACATAATGGATACAGTTGAAACTCTTAAATCTAGTTGAAACTTTTATGCTCACTGTACCATTTATTCAAAACTCAATTTCTTTTAGTTTATTAAAAAAATGACTTTAGACTCTACGCTACACTTAGTTATTGTGATGGCATAAATGGTTCTTTAAGCATGCACCATAGTGCTTAATTCAACAATAGAGCCTGAAGCAAGATCGAGGAGAGTCCCGATGGTGCTAACCTCAAGACGGTATTAATATTTGAGGCTAATAATATTTGATACTTCAAAGAAATCTCAAACACTAGGGATATATCTTAGTCACCTTTTTCTATACAAACGTCTTCCGATACTCAAGATTTTGAATTTTATTACCCAAATATTTTGTGTAGTAGTACTTTTTTTCATAAAAAAACATAACGCTTAACATTGTACTTCCTCTGCCCCAAAAACAATGTAATTCTCACTTACATAAGAGTCAAACAACATAAAGTTTGACCAAATATATAAGAAAAATGCTAACATTTGTGATATAAAATCAGTATTATTAAATT